AGCGTGGATGGAGGAATCTGTGTATGACCAGCATTTGTGTGGTTCTGTATATCAGCCTTTCTCAATCTTTTCACCCCATAGGAACCCTTGAAATATTTTGTAGGCCCCAGGAAGCCCGTGCTAAAACCTATTTATTGGTGGTCAGTGGGGAAAATGCTCCTCACTTTGAAAGCTAGTGGGAAGAATGCATCCTTTACAGTGGTGATCAGAATGTTATCCCTACAGACAACTAAAAAGAACACTGATGTCATACAGCTGGTTCTGCCAAGTGGCATTGACCCCAGAAGGCACCATCAAATGAGAGACCAGTCAGCCCCAGCTCAAGGAACCCTTGGAGGAACTTTAGGTCTTTATGGATTGCTAGAAATCACACTTTGTGGTTACTTTTATGAGCAACTTCCACATGTCTGTTGCTGCAGACGTTCTGTGGTAGGAACATTTCTCTAATGCTGGCGCTGGAATGGAAATGTCTGTTGCCCATAGCAACATAATTAGATCTTCTATTTTTTCCTTCCAGTGCAATATGGGAGATTGGAGAGGAAATGTAATTGATGTGAGCAACAAGAGAAAGTACTCTTTAAATAAATTATATCCAGTGCCTGCAGGGTTTTAAAGTGATTGTAAAGGTAAAAATGATATTTTCTAAAAATATAACAAACATGTTATACTTACCTGCTCTGTGCAAGGGTTTTGCACAGAGCAGCCCCAATCCTCCTCTTCTCGGGTCCCCCATTGGCATTCCTAGCTCCTTGCCCTCTGTGCAAGGGTTTTGCACAGAGCAGCAGCCCCAATCCTCCTCTTCTCGGGTCCCCCATTGGCATTCCTAGCTCCTTGCCAAGTGCCCCCATAGCAAGCCACTTACTGTGGGGGCACTTGTGTGTGCTCACTCCCAAGCCCTGCTGTCTTTGTCCATAAGACACACAGAGCATGGCAGCGAGATCCAGTGGCTCGTGCTGCTGTGTCTGAGCCAAAGAGGAGGGAATGAGCCGAGAGAGCAGCTGCTCTCGTGCACATCACTGGATGGAGATTGGGCTCAGGTAAGTATTGGGAGGAGGGGGGGGGGGGGGGGGCGACTGCTCACTGAAGGGTTTTTACCTTCATGTATATAATGCATGAAGGTAAAAAACCTTCAGCCTTTAGAACCAATTTAAGTTAAAAAGGGCTTGAAGGTAATTGGGGTCTTCAGCAAATGGGAAACTACCACAGTTGATGGCTGTAGGCAACTGGGCTTGCCTAGCTTACAAAATAGTGCCCAGGTGTATCTTCAAGGCCCCTTTCACACGGGCGGACTTCGCCAGTGAATCTGCCTGCTCAGCAAGGGATCTGTCCGCTGAGCAGATGGGATGCCAGGTCCGTGTCCGCTCTACTTATGCAGTGCACTGTCCTCTAGGGGTAGTCAGATGTAAACGGATCACCTGTCCATTTACATCTGAGTGTCATCCATCCACTAGACCAGGGATCTCCAAACGTTCTAAACAAAGGTCAAATTTACTGTCCTTCAAACTTTTGGGGGGCCGGACTGCTGCCAGTGGGAGAAGAAAATGTCCTTGTGTCAGTGGGAGTAAACAATGCCCCATCATTGGTATTAGGGGGAGGAATAGTGCCCCATCATTGGCATTAGAGAGAAATAGTGCTCCATCAGTGGTATCAACGGGAGGAATAGTGCCCCATCATTGGTATCAGTGAGAATAGCAATTGTTGGTGATAGTGGGAGGAATAGTGATCATCGTGGTATCGAATGGGAGGAATAGTGCCCCATCATTGGTATCAATGGGAGGAATAGTGCCCCATCATTGGTATTAAAGAGAAATAGTGCTCCATCAGTGGTATCAATGGAATAGTGCCCCATCACTGGTGTCAGTGGTATTAATAGCATCCCATTGTTGGTGATAGTGGGAGGAATAGTGCCCCATCATTGGTGTCAATAGGAGGAATAGTGCCCCATCATTGGTATCAATAGGAGGAATAGTGCCCCATCATTGGTATCAATAGGAGGAATAGTGCCCCATCATTGGTATCAATAGGAGGAATAGTGCCCCATCATTGGGGTCAGTGGAAGAAATCGTGCCCCATCACTGGTATCAATAGAAGAAATAGTGTCCTTTTTGTTGGTGTCAGTGGCAGGAATTATGCCCCACTGTTGCTGACAGTGGGGGGAATAATGCCCCAAGGGCCACATGAAAACAAGTAAAGGGCCTCATCTGGCCCCCGGGCCACAGTTTGTAGACCACTGCACTAGACAGATAGTGAATGGATCCCCCATCTGTCTGTTTTTTAACGGATCAGATGCAGGCGGGTATAAACAGATGCATGTCCGTTTACATCCGCCACTCCATAGAGGGCAATAGATGGTCCGATCGAGTCTGCCTGAAAATGGGCAGTCGGACCCAATTGGTTTGCCCTTGTGAAAGGGGCCTTAGTTTTGGGCTGAGTGAGGAAATATTTACTCCCTGGTCAGGGACATTTTGCTGCCTTTGTCCCCTTGAGGGTTTTTTTCGCCTATTTGTCCTGGACCCATTGTCACAGTCACAGAGTGGTGGTGAATCCAAAATTTGTCACCGGGGCAGGATTAGAGTTGAAATCTTTCAGTGAAGACAACTATTTAGAAAAACTGTCTAAGATGGGATTTCCTCCACTTTCGTGTCTCTAGGACAGGAAATGAAATCAATCCAAATGGACACAGACGAGGGTCTTAATCATTCCCCACTCCCGAAAAAGTGTCAAACTGAAAATTCCTTTGCTGTCCCCTTTTGATGAGTATCCATGTTGTTGGTCTATACCAGTGGTGGCAACCTTTTTTTTTCAACTGAGCCAAATCTCGCCAAAACCACGATTGAAATTTATTTTGAGAGCCACATTTTTAAAACTGAAAATACATAGGATGGTACACTGTTTTTAGTTTCAATAAGTTTTTATAGTAATTCATCCCCCATATAGTAATTCATCCCCCATAGTAATACATCCCCCATATAGTAATTCATCCCCCCCATATATTAATTCATCCCCCATATAGTAATTCATTCCCCCATAGTAATTCATCCCCATATTAATTCATCCCTCATATAGTAGTAGTAGTAAGTAAGTAGCAAGTAGTAAGTCAAGTCCCTCCTGTGTCAATTCACTTACCTTTGCTCCGCGCGTTCCTCTCGCCGTGCTCCCCGCGCCGTTCCGGTCTTCAGGGCGGACTGTGAGAGGAGCCTAGCTCCCCTCACGTTCGTCACGCTGCCCCGCCTACACACATCCTGACAGCCAATCACTAGCTATCAGGATGTGAGTGGCAGCGAGACTGGCCAATCATTGCTGGGCTAGCTGCAGAGTCCTCGGCCACCCGAGAGGAGGGAGGGGAGGGGAGCGGGCCCGCCCGAGAGAAGGGAGGGAGGGGGGGAGCGAGCGCCCGGCACACAGAAGAGCCGCATTAAAATGTGTAAAGAGCCGCATGTGGCTCGCGAGCCGCGGCTTGCCGACCACTGGTCTATACAGTGCTTTAGAGTTGCTAAAGTCAGCTTTGTTTTGCAATCTGTGGCTATAACTTTGTTGCTGTCTGATTACTATGTTGTCAAACCTGTGACACCACACTGACCAGTCTCCTGGAGGCCAGACAATGCCTGTTTTGTCAGAACATAGAGAATGTTAATGACCCGCCATTGTCTGTCCTCTACATCACATCCTGTAGTCTGTGCACAGTCACCCTCATTGTCTCATTGAAACCTTTCACAAAGCTGATACATGGCAGAACATACGTGATAGAACTGTGTTCAGTTGTTCAGAAACCGTTGGAATGACAGGTTGCAGGGTTATTGTCTCTCTGGGCTCCATAGTGTGTATCATCTGTCATATACCATGTGATGATCCTGAGGAAGCACATAGGTGTTCCATGGTGTCACTAATGGCATTGTCATTGGGATGAATAGGTGATTAGAGAGGGTATTGCTGATTTTTACCTTGGGAAGAGAACCCAGCAGACGCATGCTAGAGGTGATGCCCAGGCTTACATGATTACGAACACATTTAAAGGAAAAGTAAGGCAAAAGCCCTCCTCTTGTGGGTCACAGGAGTGCACTTTGTTTTGTACTCCTGTGACCCGATACGCTAGCTGTTGCCTTACGTCACTGAGCTGGTTCAAGCTCTGTAGAGATCCTGACTTTAAAGTCGGGATCCACCCAGATTCCTGACTGGCAGCTGGCTCAGCCTCTGTGAGCTGCTCCTGCCCCTTCCACAGCCCGGCGCTCCAGTGAATGCTGGAGGGGCAGAAATGAACGCCATAGGCTGACATTCAAAGCTCTTTGCTCACTGAGGATCGATCACTGAGTGATCAGCGGTCTTTGATTACTCAGTTCTTGGTTTTAGAGCTGGCGAAGGACAGATGCTGTATCCAATTAGGTAAGTATATGTGTTTGTTTGTTTTTTGTTTTTCAAATTCCGAACTTCTCTTTTTATAAAAAAAAAAAAATGGGTACATTTTTACTATTGACTGCCACAGAAATTGTCTGGGCTGATGTGGCCTTCCATTTTATAGTCTTTTCCCTGAAATTTACTCTTTAGGGAGGAGAAGCACAAACTTCCCTATTGGGCTTTTTCATTGGATCTTATAGAATTTACTAAAAAATCTGTTAAAAGATTGTGTTGTGCATACTGTAGTGAGGAGCTGCAGAAGGGGAGCAGGTTTTCTACACACCTGAGACCTTCAGATACCTGCAGTGGTCGGGGACCAGCAACACGCCGGTCACTTTACAGTAGCATAACAATCCACAGATTTAATTAGAGTTCAGTGAAACTTGCAGCCCTTTCTTGGATTGTTGAAACTGTGATGAACCTTTTAGGTCAATCCATTGGGTTTCTGTATTTGCCATGGCCTCTATCTGCCCCTTCCCCAAGCAGATGGCTGTTACGTCAGAAATGAAGGGAACTGTAAGCATCCAGTGTCAGAAGACAATGGCCTCCTAGGACAGTGGTCTCCAAACTGCAGCCCTTTGCTTGCTTTAATCCGACTCTTGGGGCATTATTCCTCCCTCTGTCAGCAACAGTGGGGCATAGTCTCTCCCACTGACACCAGTGATGGAACACTATTCCTCCCACTGACACCAGTGATGGAACACTATTCCTCCCACTGACACCAGTGATGGAACACTATTCCTCCCATTGACACCAGCGATGGAACACTATTCCTCCCATTGACACCAGTGACGGGAACACTGTTCCTCCCACTGACACCAGTGACTGGGCACTGTTCCTCCCACTGACACCAGTGACGGGGCACTGTTCCTCCCACTGACACCAGTGACGGGGCACTGTTCCTCCCACTGACACCAGTGACGGGGCACTGTTCCTCCCACTGACACCAGTGACGGGGCACTGTTCCTCCCACTGACACCAGTGACGGGGCACTGTTCCTCCCACTGACACCAGTGACGGGGCACTGTTCCTCCCACTGACACCAGTGACGGGGCACTGTTCCTCCCACTGACACCAGTGACGGGGCACTGGTCCCCCCCCAACTGACACCAGTGACGGGGCACTGGTTCCCCCCCACTGACACCAGTGACGGGGCACTGGTCCCCCCCCCCCCCTGACACCAGTGACGGGGCACTGGTCCCCCCCCCCTGACACCAGTGACGGGGCACTGGTCCCCCCCCCCCCCACTGACACCAGTGACGGGGCACTGGTCCCCCCCCCCACTGACACCAGTGACGGGGCACTGGTCCCCCCACTGACACCAGTGACGGGGCACTGGTCCCCCCACTGACACCAATACCAATGACAGGGCACCAATACTCCCCCAAATACTAATGATGGGGCACCAGTCCTCCCACTGACCAGTCTAGCCCCCCTAAAGTTTGAAGGACAGTAATCTGGCCCTCTGTCTAGAAAGTCTGGAGACCCCTATCCTATAGGAGGGGATGGTATGGAGGATGCTGTAAACCACTAACCAGTAAATTGGCAGCTCATTGTACAGTATGTTCACCCAGCTCCTTGGGGAACTAAGTGGATCTTCACTTGCCTACTGAACATCCTTTGCAATCCTTTCTGCTGGTAATTCCTAAACCCGTGGGCACAATTCTAGAACAAATACTAGTTGTTTGTCTTGGCACAGTGCTCACCTACCTGTCTTGTGCACAGGTTCCTGCCTGCAGGGATAACTCTAGAAAACACTTTGGGTTTGGGGTGCTCCATCCCCCTCCTTTGCTATGAAGATCATTCATCTGTGGGGGGTATTGTGTAAATTGATTCAGTGGATGAACTTTCCTAGAGACATTACTAGGAATATCGATGTGTTGCTTCGCTCCAAGCATCAACAAGCCACAGATGCCTGGCCCAGCTTGTACATACCTCGGCTGAGCGTTTGGGGACCAGCCAAACACACCATTGTTTGTTCACATTGGAGCCAGTCCAGCAGTTTAATGTATTTGCAGATATGTATAATAGGAAGTTTTAGTCGTCCCCTGCTGCCAAACATTGCAGAGCCCCCGGGTTACTAATGAATTGGAGGACTTCAAGCTGTCAGCCACAACACCATCCAGAACAGACATGTCCTCTTGTTTATGTCTTGCTGTAGGAAGAGCAGACGATGCTTGTTACAGTTAATCCTGTTGCTGAAACCACTTCTGCTGTATACTTACCACAACCTTCGGCTGGGATTATCGTCTTGCTTGTGTTCTGTGTTAGGTTGGGTACTCAGGAACATTTAAGTTCTGCCAAATGCTTGGTGGATGCCCATAGTGATGTTGAACAAGCATTGCCTAACCACCAAACACTGAGTATGTAAACTGGAACCTTCTGCATGTCTTTGATGGGGCAATATAGGTAGTATTATTATTATTATTATACAGGATTTATATAGCGCCAACAGTTTGCGCAGCACTTTACAATATAAGGGAGACAGTACAATTACAATACATTTCAGTACAGAAGGAATAGTCTGGCTCGTGGAGCTTACAATCTAAAGGAAGGGGGAGGTGATACAAAAGGCGATAGCTGCGGGGGATGATCTGGTGGAGGTGGTTCAAGTACAGTTCTTAGGTGGAGGTGGGGTAGGCTTCCCTGAATAAGTGAGTTTTCAAAGATCACCTAAAGGCAGACAGGGTGGGGGCTGACCGGACATGCTGTGGTAGGGAGTTCAAGAGGATGGGAGAGGCTCTGGAGAAGTCCTGGAGGCAAGTGTGGGAGGAGGTGATGAGGGAGCTAGAGAGGAGGATGTCATGGAAGGAGCGGAGTGGACGGTATCGGTGGATGAGGTTGGCGATGTAGCTAGGGGCAGTATTGTGGATGGCTTTGTACCATTCAGTATGTGGTGGTTGTAAAACGGGATATTTTCTTTTGATTTCTACCTGCATGCTTACCTATGTATGAAATGAATTCAATGTATTACAATAAATAGTCTTGCTATACTCAGAGCGAATGTGGCTGGTTCCTGATGAACCTCATGAAAGTCGAGCTGCAAATGGCACTGTTTGCACCCTCCTACCCAACATTATTGGATTTGATTATCAAAGGAGACGGGTGGAAAATTGTCAGCTGAAATGTGTTTGCATCCAATCAGATGCAGCCACTGTTCAGATATTCTGACAACCAGGAGTGCTGGCTGTCAAACTAAAATAGCAGGGAAGTTCTTCCACCCACACTGTTTAGCATGGATGAGGGAATTCATCGGACTGTATGGTCACGCAAGGCCTAGGTGTCCTTTCCACAAATCTGACCCCGTTGCAGAGTGTCCAGGTCCTTAGCTGGCACACAAGCAGGCTTACTAAGAAAACACGTGCAAAACCTGATGATGACATGGAAAGATCGGTAACCCATAGCAACCATTCAATCAAATTTCTTCAGTACACCTCAGTCAGAACACCAAAGTATGCTTTCTGATACATTATTATGGGTTACATAACCTTGTTAAATATTTTTTTTTCCCTAATAAAATGACCACTTACCTGTCACTGGGACCAGGGTACGATGGAGGGGAGATGGATACATCGCTCGTATTTTTCCATCTATTTCTCCAACTTCCAAATGGTTTCTTCTTGACATCTGATGGAGTCTGCATTGGTGACACTTGCTCCTTGGGAATGCCTCCATCACTGGGTCCAACTGTTTCCACCCCAGGTGGGCTTTTATTTTCAGATGGTACCCCATTGCCCCCCTTCTCTGTCTCTAGTAGGAAGTATATTTTCTTGCATTAATGTTTCAGTGACAATTGTGGGGAAAATGGTTGCTAAACAGCTCTCCAATTCTTACAAGCCCTTGCCAGACCCTTCCAGTTCCAGTGAGAACATCTGCTGCCTTTTACAACAAAGTAGTTGGTAATGGGGATGCTGCATTTTGTGTCTAGGGGGGGGGTGATTCTTATACACCACTGTGACCTGCTGGGGAGATTTTCCTTCACTTCCTGATTTGGACACACAAAAGGAAATAAAAGGAAAGCTTCCCATAGCAAGACAGTTGTCATTGGAACAAATGTCCCCATTGGATAATTCATCCTCACCATTTACCCTAACATTTTAGGAATTCCCCTCACTTTCTGTTTTGATGACAGTGGTGACCAAGACAAATGGAGAGGGGTGGATCTCCCCAGTAGGGATACAGATGGCAGTAAAAATGTGACAGAGGGTCCAACCTTTCCCTACTGTCCAAAATTTAAAAAAGAAAAGTTTTGCCTTTTTATATACACTTAAATGTAAATAACAAACATGTTGTACGTAGCTGCTCTGTGCAATGGTATTGTGCAGATCAGCCCTGAACCTCCTCTTTTGGGGTCTACCACCAGCTCTCTAGGCTCCTCCCCTTCTTTGAGTGTCCCCGTAGCAAGCTGTTTGCTATGGTGGCACACCTGTGGCTTGGTCCTGAGTTGGGCTATGTGCAAATATTGATACACACAGCATGGCTCGGCCTTGCCCCCACTCTTTATTTACAGGATTTGATTGATCGCATCAGGAGCCAATGGCTCCTGCATCTGCCTTTGTGAGTAGAGATAGCCACTGCAGAAGGGCACAGCGCTGGATTGAGAGAGAACTTGGGTAAGTAGAAGAGGAGGGGGGGCAATACAATTACTGGGACATTTTGTACCTTAATGCGGAGAATTCATTAAGGTAAAACATGTTGAGCCTTAAGAACCACTTTAGGAATAGCATGTGAGATGTTAGATAGGGCAGCCTTTCTCAACCAGGGTGGCCGGGCAGCCTTTCTCAACCAGGGTGCCTTCAGTCTTCTTCAGGGGTGCGTTCAGTCTTCTTCAGGGGTGCCTTGACAAAATGACCAAAAATTGTATACAAGCCAGCAGGTGGATCAATCCTGCCTTTTAGTACACAAAGCCACAGGTTTTCATTGTGCACTTTTATGACCTTCTAGCTGCCAGCATCCTAACAACCAATGACATCAGTTGTTAAGGAGTATGTCAGGTGCATGCACATCATCTTTGTTTGGCCCTCCCCTACCTCTCTCCGTCAACACTGGGGTAACATTAGCAGAGTGATGGAGAAAAAAAAAGGAGAGAGACACTAGTCAGTACCAGTGTGCAAAGGTGTATTTGCTTTGGAAGAATAAATCACCTCTAACGTTGGGTGTACTGGATGTGTCTTGAATAGTCTTTCACATTTTAGATTGGGGTGCCTTGAGACTGTGCAGAATTTTAAAGGGTGCCTTGAGATTATCCATAACTTTTAAAGGGTGCATTGACTGAAAAAAGGTTCAGAAACACTGAGGTAGGGTATTCATCCAAATGATAGTAGTATTGCCAAGACTTGAAGTCCCATGGTCAGGGGTGGACTGACCATTTGAAAACTCGGGCACTGCCCGAGGGCCTGGGGTCAGTAGGGGGCCCCATGAGTACTTTTTTCCTAGGCTTTTTTGAGTTTGGGCAAGGACACAGGTTCCCCATGATCCCCTATTGCCTGGGGGCCCCATGAGTTGTCAGTCCACCCCTGCCCATGGTACATAATTAAATGGAAGAATATAGTTAGATATGTACATGCTAACAGCTATATGAGTTTTACATACCCAGGATCACATAGTGCTACACAATGATTGTGCTTTACTGCGTGTTGATGATGAGCTGGAAAGTAGGGAAATGATTGCATAGAATTGTAAAGGTCCCTTTAGTGACTGATCTACAAACCTGTACATTAAAGTGTCATTAAACCCACATCACAAAAAATACTATACCTAAATGCTGTATTACATGTGGTTCATACTCACTCATTTGCTATGGGATTTGTTTTTGTATTCTGCAAAAAAACCTGGTTGATCCTCCTGTTGTCTATCTCCCCATTCTGTCTATGTCCCCAAAGCAGTTGGGGATTTTGCAGAGCAGTGGTGGCAGCTCTGCACATGCTCAGTTTTCAGGAAGTTTCTATGCTGAGCATTTCCTGCCTATCACATCTGAGCAGCCCATGTGACTATAGAGTCACACATGTGGGTGTATACACAGTACTATATGACAGCCCACTCCCTTTTTCCTCCTCCATGCCCACTAACCAGTTAAACACAAGGGGGTCGGAATAGTAAATCTTGATTGATGGCTGCTTCACCGCCCTGTTATTCTAAGACACAAGCTGGAAGGGCGGTAGACAGCCCGTGACTGGCAGAAATCCGCCCACACCATGTTACTATAACTATTCTATAAATGATATATAAATTGATGTCAAATATATATTTGTATGACAATTTTAAAACCGTTTATTAACATGAATTTATTTTTACTCTGTACCCAGAGGCTGTTTTATTTTTTGAACATGTGACCAGCAGCAGAGGACTAGAAGCTCCT